GAGCTAATGCTCGGAGTTTCTCTGTTTGATCGAAGATTCTTCAGCAGTCCACTGCTAAACAATCTTCCTGGATGAAATGATGATGATGCTGAGATATCATTAGATTTTACAATCGTATTATTCACTAGTTGTGCCCGCGACTTCGTCTGCGTCTTACAGTGATCTTGAACAAATAATGAAAAATAAACAATAAAAAAAGCCAAAGAAAAAAGATTCATCGTCCTAGCTTCATGAATGTCAATTTTCCATACAAACTTTCATCCCCTATTTTATTTTACCCCCTTAAGGGTCAAATTTTCATAAACTTTGAATGCCATATTTATTTATATTTAATCAACAGTCTAAAAAATAAGTTTCAAGCTTTAGCCTTAAAAATGACTTTACTTCCATAGAAACTTTCATCTTTACAACCCTTTACAACCCTTATTAGAACGTAGCCTATGTATAAGATAAGATAAGACTATCTGTGTACCAAATTTCAATCAAATCGGTTCAGCAGTTTTTTTTAGCCGTATTTATCAAAGTCTAGAATATCTGTGTAGCAATTTTTTTAAATCGGTTCATCAGTTTTGATGTGAAACAAAACAGACAGACAAAATATTAGTTTGGATTAGTAAGATTGGAAAAAATCTACATTACATTATTATTTATTTCCTACCAACGAACTATTATTATCAGTATGTACTATGTAATGTTATGTTATCTGTGGTGTATACTATATTTATAACTATTGAGCAACAAATATGTTTTTGTTGTATATATCTTATTAACGAATGACATGTAGTCATTACATATAGTCATCATTATAAATGATAACAATAATACTCTACAATTACACTAGACAGTAAATTAAATCATAATCTCTTGATTTGTTTTAAAAAAAAACAGCAAGTCATAATATTAATACTAGACTTAAAGACAAACTTGCTATCCCCAAGTATCGTTTAGAAAAAGTCTATAGGTATTTTATGGGAATACGTATAAAAATTTACAATAAGATATCAAAGGATATACTGGAATTACCCTTAAATAAATTCAAAACATCTGTTAAATCATATTTACTGAGCAAGGCCTATTACTCACTAAACAATTACTTGAATGACGAGCGTGCATGGCAATAGTTGTTCATGCACAGGATTTTCATTTAATGTTAGACATAGACACCTATATAAATATACATTGTAAATAAACTGGTAAACTGGTAAAAAAAGTAATTAAATCGAATTTCTTGCCAGTTCTTCTCAATTGGATCTATATACTGAACTAGACGGTAGGGAAAAAATAAAGTATAAAAAATTTTACGTTCATAAGCGATTAAAATGTCCTACATGAACAATAGATTTTTGAATTTTGAATCTGCTTCTTCCATATCCCATTTATTTGTGGTCGTCGTAATATGTTTTTCTCTTCCATTCATCCCTGTTCGCAGTCATCTCATTATTTACTCCCTTTCTTACCATATCATCTTTCACACAGTCCATTCATCTCTTTTTCGGTCTTCCTCTGCCCTTATAACCATCCTCATTCATATGTAACACCTTCCTTAAGATGTGATCTTCATTCCTACGCATTATATGCCCATACCACGATAGACAATTACTCTTTAACCTCTTTGACACCGGCGCCATTTTCATACACGGATATTAAATTGAATATTTATAGATATTTCATTAAATAGTCATTAAATAGCTTTAATAAATAAATAAATAACCTTGGACAATTAACACAGCGCGATCTAATCCCACAGTAAGCAGAGCTTGTGTTAAATACGATACAACTTCTATAAATATTTAGATACTTGTAAATACATAATAATATACATAGAAAACACCCAGACCGATAGAAAGAATCATACTGATTAATACAATGATTTGTACCGTGCGAGAAATCGAAGCCGCTACCACCGGAAGTAAGTCAACACCGCTAGACCACCGAGGATGTTTTATCTTTGCTTTTTAACAATCATTATTTATGCATACTTAATAAAAGTGAAGCATTCTCTATCTGAGAGTACAGCTAGGGGTTTGAACCCCAAGTTGGTTGTAATTGATTGCAAATACGACCCCGCGACCCTAGCAGTATTGCGACGAGAAGGAACGCCTGAATAAACTGCCAGAATCTGCACAAAATCTGACAGAGAGGCAATTCAAATCTTATATTAAACAATTTTTGTGTAAGAAAGCCTATTACAGGATAGACCAATTCATAGATGACAACATATCAAGTAAATAATTAGTTTATTAGCATACAACGTTATTATTTAATTTTCTCATTGCTTTCATGATTTAATTGATTGATTTTAGAAATATGAAAGCGTAGCGGTTTTTGTATTGATTGCCGCATGCATTCTTATGTAAAATGTGAATAGTATAACCATCAGATGGCAAGTGTGAGTAGTTATGACGTGGTCTTGTGTTTTGAGTAGTCTTGCTCACTAAAATGTCCAGAATGCTTGTTCTTCTTATGATGAGATAACATTCCGAATGAGCGGTAGATTAAAAAAAAAATGTGATGACTATTCAAAAGTGCTTCAATGTAAGTTTATTTGAATAAATGATTTTCTATTTCTTTCTTTCTTTCTATTTTTTGGGGTTTTTGAGTAGCTATAAGGTTGAACCCCTGAGACAGGGACAGAATAGGGAGGGATAGGGTTGTGAGTAATGTGGACCCTTGACTTTATTGCTAGCAATGTACCCGGTCAGGCAGACCTCCACGCGGTTCTCCTGGAGGCCATCGTGATAAATCCAGGTGAATTTGTCACGATAGGCTAACTGACCTGACCTCTAAATCATATTATCATTTTTTTTTATTTATAGTAATATCTGCCGCTACCTTCGTGGCGACATCGTTTTGGGTTTTTTCTCAGGTATGATCACTCTCCAATGGTGCACCATCAGCTTAAACTCTTAGCGCAGGCGGTTGCACCATTTCATTATCATATAAAAACCCCTGATATTGACGGGTTTTCATGAGGATTTTTCCCAAGAAAAAAAAAGGGATTCGAACTATAATATTGTAATGATAACGAAAATCTATTTTTCCATAATCGATTTGTTTTCATGTTTAGTCAGGCCCAAACTGGTTCGTAAAAGGATATTTAATTCATTACATATATACCTACTATACGCCGACTCTTCCCATTAACCACTTATCTATACATCTATACATATAAATAAAATTGGAGTGTCTGTTTGTAATATTGAAATAACCGTCTTTTACTACATGCATATGAATATAAATACAGTACATACACCAAAATACTATTTTTTACAATTTTTGTCTGCTTGTCTGTCGGTCTGTTTGATCCGGCTAATCTCTGAAATGTTTTGGTAGGCAGCTAATGTCATAAGGAGTAACTTAGGCTACTTTTATTTTAGAAAAATAAATTCAAATTCCACGCGGACGAAGTCGCGGGAACAGTTACACATATATTAGTATACACAGACTCTTCCCGTCGACCACTTATCTATACATCTATACATATAAATAAAATTGGAGTGTCTGTTTGTAATATTGAAATAACCATTTTTTACTACATGCACATGAATATAAATACGGTACATATACTCGTACTAAAAAACATTTTTTTCAATTTTTGTCTGTCTGTCTGTCTGTCTGTTTGTTCCGGTTATTCTCTGAAATGGCTGGACCGATGTTGACGGAACTTTTTTTGGCAGGTAGCTGATATAATAAGCAGTAACTTAGGGTCATTTTATTTTAGAAAAATAAAGCTATAAAGTTATACCGACGCGGGCGAAGTCGTGGGTACAGCTAGTACAAAATATAAGTAATATATAGTAATAATATCTTATCTTTCATTCACAAACACGGAATTCAGTGCTTGATATGTTTATTGTAATTTTTTTTAATTATTAATATTTTACAGCTCTGGATACAAGTCCCTTTTAGCCCAATATAAATTACAAAAATTGAAGTCAATGTCCACAGTAATTATTGTTGTTTGTCTGTTATGAGAACAGTGTTGCCAGATTTGATGCCCTTTGTTGAGGAAAATTTATTTCAGATGGCTAGTGAATTTTGCAGTGGGCAAAAATTGAGTCCAGTAAATATATTTATCAGACATATTTTATTGACAAAAAACTATGGTTTTTAAATCTTTACATAGTATAATGTGCAGTCGCTTCCGCTGACTATTTGCTTAGAAGATCTTTTAAACTACGCAACGGATTTTAATGCGGTTTTTAGGAATATATAGAGTGATTCAAGATTCCTCTTGAATCACTCTATATATAATAAATTGAGTTTATTTTGTATATAATACTTACATATTAGGCAGAATAGTAAACCCTATACATATTATTATTATTACATATGATATTTATTATAATTAGGTTCGTAGATAGGGCTCAATAAAAGAGGAAAGTAAAATATGTAACTCAAAGGTGGCTGAGATAGTGACCTATGAACGCACAGCCCAAACCACTGGACGGATCGGGCTGAAATTTGGCATGCAGGTAGATGTTATGACGTAGGCATCCGCTAAGAAAGGATTTTAATTTATTCCCCCAAGGGGATAAAATAGGGGATGAAAGTTTCTATGAAACTTTAACAATTTCAAACCGATCGGGCTGAGACTTTGCATGTATAAAGCTACTATGACGTAGGCATCTCTTAAGAAAGAATTTTGATAAATTCCACCCCTAAGGAGGTAAATTAACGCGAGCGAAGCCGCGGACAAAATCTTGTAATCTCCTAATCTCTACTTATCCTCGGGACCAGGTGACGTTGTGTGAATTGTCCAAAGATATTCCAGGTTTCCTTAACAAATGTTCAAAAACTTCACGTTCCATCTAGTGGACTTGGCCAGAGTTTAATGGCAACTCTAGTAAGACACAACTTCGAGTTATGACTTGTTATGTGTATATTTGTTAAGTTGGGCTAAAAAGGACTTGTATCCAGAGCCGTAAAACATATTAATAAAAAAATATACATATAACGACGTTGTTTGTTATCGTTTTACTTGTATCATGTAGAACAAAAAACAAATCAAGTTTACCAGTGGTGCAGAAATGTACAAATATAAATAATTGTATAAAGTCTTGTAATTCTTAACCATTGCAGTTGGAGCTTCGATTTCTGGATTTCTAAAAAGATATTAAAGGTAAGAAAGTTTATAGTATTCAACAAGTTAGTAAATAACGCGTGCCTTTTTTTAAAGTCTTCTTTACATCTACTATAGTAAACAAAATTTCTTGTGTGAATGTAAGTCAGATTATGTAGCTGGATCCTGTTAGAAGATTGCTATACCTTACTAAGGTTTACTTTAAGGTAAGAGTCGTATAGTGCTCAAAAATTTTGTTACAATGCAGTGCAATTTTTTAATGTCTTCTTTCATCTTTATTTTCTTCTTGTTCGTTCCGCTTCTGTAATAGAAACAAAATAAGAATTGAAAAAGAAATGAAGAAAAAGAATTCAAGATATTAATATACTCAAGATGAATTGTAATGGAAACCGAATCAAATGTTATATAATGAAAAGTTTATATTGATAACCTTTGTGGTTTTATTCTTAGCTTTAGATAAAATGGAAATTCCTTATGCGTTATCTTACTTCGATTATTAACTAAATATTGATATTTTTTCATCATTCACTATTTTATTTTACATTGGCGACCGACAGCGACAGCGATATTTTTATTATTTTTTTTGTTTTACATATATGCTATGTAATAATTATTAAAATACTTGTACTAATTTAGTATCTTACTTCAAAACTATGTACGTAGTTTATAATATGTATGTTATTGACGACAGGCGACACATATAAGTCGGCGATCCATTACACTATAATATTTGTGTAGATTATATTATAATAAGTTGTGTGTTGAATGGACAATAACTTAAAAAATATTGCGTAGTTTTAAAGATTTTACATAACTGAAAGCGACAGCGATTTTGTTTTATGCTATGTAATAATGATTACAATACATCGATTCACTGTTTCAAAAGAAACTGAAATAACTATACATATAAATAAAATTGGAGTGTCTGTTTGTAATATTGAAATAACCGTTTTTTACTACATGCATTCATATGTTTAGGAACACAATGAATATTTTATACAATTTTTGTGATAAGATAACCGATGGTTTGTTTGTTTCGATTTTGACATCGGAGTTTTATGATGACCGTAGGGTTTCTTATTGTAGACTAACGGACGGAACACGGTGATTATTATTATTTACATAAATTTTAATTCACATTATACTTATTATTATATTCCCTTATCATCATTATATGTTTGTCACTCTTATTCGCTTATTATCTATCTGTTCCATATGAAAATCCGTTTCCCTAAGGTTACCTTGAAAAGATCGCTTTCAGCAATAAGGCCGCCTTATTGTAACTATACATGTGTGGGGGGAAGGGGATTGTTAGTAATGTGGACTCATGGGCCCATTACTAGCAATTTACCATGCCAGGTTGACCTCTACGCGATTCCCCCTAGAAACCATCGCGATAAATTCCTGCTGATTTGTCACGATGAGCTAACTGACCTGACCTCATGTTCATCCTATCATCCTCCACTGGTGCCCCGCCAGCGTAAACCGTTAGAGCAGGCGGGTGTACCATTCCATTATCATCCATAAAAAAACTATACATGTGTTCTTTAATATATTGTATATGCCTTTGCTGTATGTTACAAATACAGTATATTCTATCTTATATATCTAAAGGAAGTAGAAAAAAACGATATGAATTGTAATTTTTCACAGACTCGCTCGTGCTTTTCCTGTCAGTCGTATCATTAGTCTAGCCTACTCTATTGAAGCTATTAGTTCTGTGCACATCTTTCTTTGTGCAATGCATGTAGCAGCCTCTAAAATGATATTTCTTTAAATAAGCGTAACATTCTTTTCAACGCCTTCCATAGTCACTGAATAAGTTTGTTTAAAATGCCCATAACTGTGAACACGTTCAATCCCTCATTACAAATAGCATACCATAAACTTTTCATTATTTTTTTTATTGGTAGGTTTGGGCTAATGTCTGGTAGCACTGCGACCTACATAGATCTATTGTTCTCACCCTTTTTCAGAGTTCGCTAGCTAGATCCGTGAGGGACAATAATTGAAGGCTATTCTTGGGAGTGATGGTTTTTATCTGCTCAGGATATAGTGTATTCCAAAGGAGATATTTCGTTTTGTATGAGTGAGCTACAACCACATAGGATGTGTAGTGGCGTTTCCTCTTCAGCTTGTCAAAATGTGCAGATTTTTGTTGTACACAGGCCTAGGTTTGCCGTATGTAATTTTTGATGATGCTAAAACTATACTTGCAAACATCTCGTGTTAAAATAATATTGGTGTCAGAGTTTCATAAAGGAATCTTTTATTTCTAGTGACGCAAGCCTGTTGTCTCATGATCTCATAAGATGTGGCGTGTGCTGCTGGCTCTGGGGGCCGCGTGCACCGCCGCGCTCGCCTCGCAGGACGTGGTACGCTACTTCACCGATCCGGTGCTGACGCCAACCTCTCTCTTCAACCACCTGGTCGTCGATCGCAACACGGGGCGAGTCTACGTCGGCGCCGTCAACAAAATTTATCAGCTCTCTCCCGACCTGGAGGTTGCCCAGTCGATCGTCACGGGACCCGTCAATGACTCTGCTATCTGCACCTTCGACTGTCCCCCGTCATATGTGAAGAAACCTACGGACAATGTGAACAAAGCTCTCGTGATAGACTACGCTACTAGTCGTCTTATATCGTGCGGTTCAGTGATGCAAGGATTGTGTTCAGTGCGGAATTTAAATAACGTTTCTCACGATGTACACGAAATTCGAGAACCAGTGGTGGCGAATAATGCGACGGCTTCAACTGTGGCGTTCATCGCTCCTGGTCCTCCAAATCCACCTATGACGCAAGTTATGTATGTAGGCGTCACATTTACAGGCACCTCACCCAATCGGTCTGATATTCCTATTGTGAGCAGCCGATCACTAGAGGATGAACGGTTGTTTATGATAGCTAGAACGGCTGATCCAACTGGAACTAGGATGTATATAAATTCGCTCTATCGTGAACGTTATCCTATTAACTATGTGTACGGGTTCAGTTCTGAGGGATTCAGCTATTTCTTAACCACTCAGTTAAAAGCCGTGGGATCTGATACATATTATAGCAAGTTAGTACGTATTTGCCATGACGATGCGAACTATTATTCTTATACTGAAATTCCGATTTCATGTGCAGGAGAAGATGGTAAAAGATATGGTTATAACCTAGTTCAGGCAGCTTTTGTTGGGAAACCAGGATCAAGTCTTGCAAGACAACTTGGAATAACTGCACAACATGACGTTTTATTTGCCGCTTTCAGTCGCAGTGAAACTATGAACACATATACGCCTACAGATTCATCAGCATTATGTGTGTACTCTCTAAAAACCATTCGTAGAAAATTTATGCAGAATATTAAAACATGCTTTAGTGGTAACGGCTCTCGAGGTCTCGATTTTATATCTCCATCCCATCCTTGTATTAGCACAAAATTGCAATCTATTAGCGAAGACTTCTGTGGTTTGGACGTAAATACTCCCCTTGGCGGTGAACAGCCCGTAGAAGCTGTGCCGGTAGCTACATTTAAAAAGAGGCTAACAGCTGTGGCTGCTACAGCTACTGGAGATTACACTGTTGTTTTTGCGGGAACATCTCAAGGACATTTAAAGAAAATAGTCGTAGAGAATGCCACTCTAGCATTTAAATATGGAGATATTGTGGTGGACGAAGGATCGCCAGTTAATAAGGACTTATTCTTTGATACTCAATTAAAGCATTTGTATGTTATGACTGAACGCAAGTTATCAAAGGTGAAAGTACAAGAATGTAGCATCCATAAATCATTTTTAACTTGTCACGAAACACAAGACCCATATTGTGGATGGTGCACTCTAGAAAATAAGTGCAGTTTACTATCGGACTGTGAGGATACATATAATGATGACTTATATCGGCATTCATATCGTAGTGAGCATTTAACCACAATTACGCAAGTAATACCAAATCAATTACAACGAACAACAACTACAAATTTAGACCTAATGATTCAAAATTTACCCACTATTAATGGACAATTCTTATGTGCATTTACAGCTTTAGGTCGTACAATAGTTACTAATGCTACTAGAAAACATTATGGATTTACTTGTACAACTCCACGCACCGACACTCTCCCACGGATTCCTGATGGTCAACATCACTTCACAGCTAAATTATCAGTGCGGACTACACAGGAACCTGATTTTGTAGCTACAAATTTTACGTTTTTTGATTGTAACACATACAGCTCGTGTACGCAGTGCGTTAGTTCCTTGTTTCCCTGTGACTGGTGCGTCGACGGCCATCGATGCACCCATGACACTGCTGGAAATTGTAGAAATGATATTTTAATTATTGGCGTCAACAGGATAGGTCCCAGTTATCGTTTTGGTCCTAGTTTCTGTCCCACTATAAACTCGACGTCAGATGGTACAAATGAAATTTTGGTCCCGTCCGGGGTCAAGAAGGCTATTAAAGTTAAGGTACATATTATTGGACAATTTATTGTTCAAACTAGGTTCGTTTGTCAATTCAATATAGAGGGTCACGTTAGTCATGTCAATGCTCAACTACTAGCGGATACTATTTATTGCGAACCCGTTAAATTTACATATACCTCGCGAGCTCCAAATATTACTGTGCCGTTCGCTGTTATATGGGGAGGTTCAAAACCTTTAGACAATCCTAGTAACACTCATATACTTATATATCGCTGTAATGATATGGCTAATAACTGTGGTTTGTGTCTGACTTTACCAGAAAAGTTTGGATGTGGTTGGTGCCAAGGGTCGGATCGCTGTGAAGTCCAGAAGCAATGCACTGTTCCGAGCGTTTGGTTAAATCGTATCCAAACTTGTCCCAATATTCAGATATATTCCTTCCAACCAGAGTTCGGTCCTTGGGATGGGGGTACTAACATAACCATTAAGGGTATCAATTTAGGTCGCAATATTTCTGATATCTACAACGGTGTTACTATAGCGGGCATCAAGTGTACGCCTATAATAGAATTATACGTAAAAACTAGGCGTATCGTTTGTACTATTGACGGTTTCGGTGAGAAGTTGCCTCACGACGGTCCTGTTGTTGTTCGAGTTGCCAATTATCGTGGAGTATCTGAACGCCATTATTCTTTTGTAAATCCGAAAATCAATTCTATTCAACCTAAATCTGGTCCACTAGCTGGTGGAACAATACTGCATGTCAAAGGCGAATATCTCAATGCAGGGAGTAATATTCAGGCTTATATCGATGATTTACCATGTCATATTTTAAACGTATCTAATGAGTTAGCCGTTTGTAGAACAAGTCGTTCATATCGACTCAAGACTGGTACATTACGGATGCATTTTGACACAGGGGTACGTACTTTAGAGCGAGAAAAGTTTGAATACATTGAAGATCCCGTAATTGATGCTGTCGAATCTGGGACATTTTCACGGGACGAAAACAGTACTTCATCAGAAGACATAAAAATGAAGAACGATTTAAATTGTAACATTACTGCTGAACAGAAAGTCAAGATAAGCGACAACCCAGACAACCCTGATCAGGGACCGTCACCAATTACTGATTAGCAGTGTTAATCCATAATATTGTAATTTGCTTAAAAATGTTTTCATTCAAATTCAAAAATCAATTATTCACATTTTAGCCGCTTATGAACGTCAAATTTTATACATTATAATTTTTATTTTTACCCTACCATCCAGTTCGGTATATCGATCCAATTGAGAAGAACTGGCTAGAAATTCAATTGAATTACTTTTTTTTTCATAAACACCCATTCAGAAACAGTTCAATAAGACCAATTTTCAAAAGAATTTATTATAACTGATGATAATTATATGGTTCTCCCCCTCGTTCTCTCCCTAATTACTTTGAATTCAAAAGGAATGTAAATAAAATGAATAAATAATAATTACAATGTCTGTAAATTTGGTTAGACAAAAATAAACTCATTACAAATTTACAAATGTAGAAATAAATGTGGCCTCCTCAAGCGTCTTCCATGTGTTTCTATCTTTTACCACAGATAACATAATATTCTTTTACTAATCGAAGCCACAATAGGTTTATTATAACTGATGATAATTATATGTTTCTCCCCCGTAGTGGAGCGCGAGTGTAATTACTTTGAATTCAAAAGGAATGTAAATAAAATTAATAAATAATAATTACAATCTCTGTAAATTTGGTTAGACAAAAATAAACCCATTTACATTTTTTTACAAATTTACAAATGACGAAATAAATAAAGCGTCCTGAAACGTTTTCCATATGTTTCTATCTTTTGCTAATCAAAGCCACAATAGGCCTAGTAGCCCTTCTAATGTTTATTATTATATTACCTTTCTCTTTTACGTTTAGTTTTGCAACAATATAGTCAACAAGTACAAATCATTACATAGTAGAAAACAAAGTTGCTGTCGCTGTCTGTCCGTTCCTATGTATATCTTAAAACTACGCATACGTTTTTTTTAACAGAGTGATTCTAGAAGAAGGTTTTATATATATAATACATGTAATTCCGTGCGAAGCCGGGGCGAATAGCTAGTATTTAAATAAATGTAAATACATTATTTCATATAAATGTATAATATATATATATTATTGCTTAGTGATAAGACCGCCTTTTGTATGAATGTATATTTTTTTATTTTAAATCGTTTTTTTTGTTCTGTAATTGGTGCAATAAAGAGTATAAATAAAAATAAAAATAAATTGTATATATAAAAATTATATATAGAAAACACTCAGATAAATACAAACAAGCATAATAATACAAATATAATTATTTGCAACATGAGAGGAATCGAACCTGCGACCGTGAATAACTGAACATGTAAAATTAGGCAGTTAAATAGATAATTTAATAATAATAATTTCAGGACAATTCACACAGCGCCATCTAGTCCCAAGTTAAGCTAGCTAAAGCTTGTGTTATGGGTACTAGATAAATTATTTAAATACATAGATATATATTTTCGTAAATACTAATATTATACATAGAACACTCAGACCAATACAAACAAGCATGAGTACAAATATTAGTGCCGTGCGAGGAATCGAACCCGCGACCATCGGACGTAAAGGAGTCATTGTATATTATTATGATCTATAGAACCATTTATGTTATCTGTGATAGAACGAAAACGTGAATTCACTATTCGTTTTAGCTAAACATTTATGCTAAGTTATGCGAATTTGAGAATCTTCTTGAAAGAAGTGGGACAGTATGACGATAAAAGTTATTAATTTCAAGATGAGAATATTTCATTCAATATGAATGAAATAATCAGATTTTTTACTTTCCCCCATTTATAAAGGAATTCATCCTGTCATTCGACCCTCGCAATCCGGAGATACAAAATTTATTAGATCAATCTCTTATATCAATCATAATCTAACCTTTAATGTCACTTCTCATTCCAATCCATAATTGTTCAGTCAAAAAAATAAAGAAAAAGTCAGTAATCTTTATATATAAATTATTATGTCACGTTGTTTGTCCGCGATGGACTCCTAAACTACTGAACCGATTGCAAATTTGATTTGCACATTGTGTACAATTTGATCCAACTTGAAAGATAGGATAGCTTACATCTCAATTTATAGTCGCAATATTATTTTATTTAAGGAACTTAGCCACAGCAACGCGTGGACAGGACTGCTAGTCTATATATCTTATATATATATATATATAAAATTCTCGTGTCACAGTTTTCGTTCCCATACTTCTCCGAAACGGCTTGACCGATTCTCAGGAAATTTTGTGAGCGTATTGAGTAGGTCTGAGAATCGGCCAACATCTATTTTTCATCCCCCTAAATGTTAGGGGTAGTCCACCCCTATTTTTTTTTTTATTTTAATGCAAAACAACGTTTGCCGGGACAGCTAGTAGTATATATAACTCAAAGGTTTTAGATAGTGATCTTACATAGTGATCTATCAACGCACAGCCCACACCACTAGACGGATCGGGCTGAGACTTTGCATGCATAAATCTACTATGACATTAAGAAATTAAGACGAACAAATTAATTTTTAGTGCTCTAGGCTACTTTTATTTTAGACCAATAAAGTTAAATTCCACGCGGACGAAGTCGCGGGAACAGCTAGTATGTATATAAAATAAAATATAAAATTCTCGTGTCACAATGTTAGTTACCATACTCCTCCGAAACGGTTTGACCAATTTTTATGAAATTTTATATGCATATTCTAGAGGATGCATATTTAGTAGGTCTGTGAGAATTATCTATTATCTATTTTTCATACTCCTAAGTGATAAGGATTGTCCACCCCTAATTTTAAGTTTTTTTTTTTATAATGTGGCATTAAAAATACATACAACTCTAATATTCCCTTCTACCATGAACACTTATTTTTTAATAGCGTATAACGTAGTTCAGCTAGTTTTAGTATATAATTCGTTAACGACTTCATTGTAAATGCCGTACTCATAAATTATTTACTTTATATTGTTATCCTATTATCTTTACATAATATAAAATAGTAAAATTGAAAACAAGGTGAACACTATCTGTTTATATGTTTGTGTGTTAGTTTACAGTAAAAATAGCTGAAGGAATAACGATGTAATTTCAACAGAATTTTAGATGAATTTGGTGCGAACTGTCACTGTGTGTAAATGTATATGCTAAAGAAATCTTAAATATAATCTTAAATTAGTATTTTTCTAATTTTATATACTCTAATTAAATTATATATTCTAATTAAGTTATTAATAAAAATGTAGATTGCATTGTGTATATACTCTACTGAAAGTAAATAAAAAATATAAAAAACACTAATTTTTGTCATTTGATAATAACCAATAGCTAGTGTCTATAAATGTACACCCGGACGATGTCGTAGGCACGACTAGTTTCTCAATAATAGAATAGAATAGAAAATCATTAAAATAAACTTAATTTAAGCACTTTTGAATAGTCATAACATTTTTTTTATCTACCGCTCGTTCGGAAAGCTGTCTCATCACAAGAAGAACGAGCAATCAACTTGTGTGTTGCTCTTTTAAATAATCCTTGTAAGTTTACATTTACAAGTCGAAACGTGTGAATACAAACTACCAAACAGCACTAATTTATTTGGACCAAATATAAATATACAATAAGATTAAATCAGTCGTAGTGAAAAGAGCAGACCAGTCCCTACAAGCAGCACTCGTTCACGAGTATGACGAACGAGCCAGCAATTACTGCGCTCGACCATATTTTACGGAGTCCAATGAATAATGAACCGTAGATAATTCACACAGCGCCATCTAATCTCAAGTTAAGCAGAACTGTTGCTGAGTATTTTTTTGGGAATACATACATAAAGTGTGTGGAAAAAGGAATGTTAGTAATGTGGGGTTATTACCCAGTGCCAGCAATTTACCATGTCAGCTTGACCTCCATGCGGTTCGTCCGGAACGACTAACCTTACTTCATGCTGCTATTAGCCTCCACTGGTGATCCACCAACGTTTTCTGAGGAGCTTACTCCCGTGTACATTTAGGTTGTAGAATGAACTTCCTGCCGAGGTTTTCTCACGAGACTACAGCATGGGGTTCTTCAAGAAGGGTATATTAAGGTTTCTTAAGGGTCGGCAACGCGCACGTGACACCCCTGATGTTTCAGGCGTCCATAGGCTACGGTAACCATTTACCATCAGATGGGCCGTATGCCTGTTTGCCACAATAGTAGTATAAAAAAAACCACCAGCGTAAACCTAATAATTTATCTTAGTTTGTTTCATCCGCCTTCACATTAGTCAACAAACTGTGTTCATGAGTATCTTACTCATGAATACAAAATATGTACCGTGCAAGGAACCGAACCAGCGACCATTTGAGTTAACGTGATGTGCTGTCAGTCAATAAATTAATAAGAAAAATACTTACCTATAGAAATTATGTAAACCTGCCAATAATCGTATAATTCAAAAGGCATAATTTTCACAATGGTATCGATTCTCTTTAAATCTTGTTTGAAATCCAGTTGTATAAGTTGGTAAACGGTCGGGAACATTTTACGTTTTAGTATTCATTCCGTTCTTGCGAGCCAGTTCGTGAATTGTTCAAATTGTCTAAATCAAATAGACCGGCCTTGGTAGCGGACAAAAAGGCAAGAATTTCAGGGCAATATTCCTGAAGGCGTCCAAGGGCGGCCCTTTCTATAAATTCTGTTACAGTTCGCAGAAGCCCTTCTATATTAGTGATATTACATTTTTGCTGCCAATATTACGCTGTTGTATTACATTTTTTGATAAATAAAACCAATTTTAGAAAGAAGAATGACTGCCTATACTTTCTAGCGGTTTGGCACACTGCTTTACTTCCGATGGTCCCAGGTTCGATCTCTCGCACAGTGCAAACATTTGTATTCATGACTATGATTTTTTCTATCAGTCTGGGTGTCGTCGTCCGCGAAATTAACTTTATTTTTCTAAAATAAAAGTAGCCTAAGTAGCCTAATCTGCCAATAAAAATCCCGTCAAAATCGGTCCAGCCATTTCAGAGATTAGCCGGAACAAACAGACAGACAGACAAAAATTGTAAAAAATATTATTTTGGTGTATATATCGTATTTATATTCATATG